AGCGCGCGAAGACTACAGGAAGCGACGCGCTGTCGTTGCAAAATCCCCGTTGGACAACATTCCAAACTTCCAGCTCATGGAACCTGTTTATGGCCATTTCCCATCCAAGCGAGACACCTTCGCTTCATGGTAGAGCTCAAAAGGATACCCTGCTCACAACAGGAAAGCGCGTTTTGACTCAAAACGCGCTTTACTGTTGTGTTGAGCAGGGTGTCCTTTTGTCCGAGCGCGGTCCGAGCGTCCGGTAAAGGGTGTTGTGGTACAGTATAAAGTTACAGAGGATGTATGGGGGTATTGGGGTGTGAAAGGCCCCGCTCACTGGCGACAACTCCGACAAATGGCGCACCATATGCATTACAACGCGGTGCGAGTCCGTTGCAGCAGCGCGAGGGCCATTCACAAGCTGCGTGTTGTAGAAGATTGACGACGAATCGGTTCAGTGTCCTAGCGATCGCTCTCCGCACTTTTCATTTGCCATGCAACTGCGTTTGCTTCTCGGGAGCCTCCTCGCCACCGTCGCCCTCGGAGACCCGCACGCGGGCTGCTTCGACCCCACCACCCCAACCATGGCGCCGACGCCTGCTCCGACGCCTGCTCCGACGCCTGCTCCGACGCCTGCTCCGACGCCTGCTCCGACGCCGGCCCCGTTGACTGGGTGCGCGCTCTTCGCCGCGTACGCCGGGAACAAGTTCATGTCATTAACTGCCGCCGACACCTCTGGTGCGTGGAATCTGGACGGCAATAAACGCGGCGTCGTCGCGTCGACGCCTGCGACGTTGCACGCAGTCCCCGTCGCCAGCAACGCCTATGCGATTGCGGTCGTTGGACCGCACGTCACTCTGCAAGTCGAGTCGGGCCAAATCGTCGGCAAGGTTTGGGATCCGCCGTCCTCACCGTTGTTTGCGTGCACGGACGTTGCCGGCAGTGGCGCGATCGCGCTCCGCGTCGACAACAACTACGTGACGCAGTCGGGCGGCAAGCTCATGCTCGAAGCGCTGGTGGGTGGGGCACCCTCGCCCAGCCAGCAGTGGGTTATAGCTGCGATAAACTAGAAGTGATAACGTTTCCAATTCTCGACGACGCATCACTGTGTTGCCGCCACCCGTCAACGTTGCCGTCGTCGGGGGCTTGAACTTTCAACTGTGTTGTTGTCGTTGGTGGCTTCAAGGCAAGGGTACCGAAGGAGGATATATATATATATATGAACGTGTTTCGCGTTATCTTCGTTGTTACAAAGAGTTCGCATACGTAGAGACTAGCAATCTCCTTCTTCTTCATTCGCTCGCCGGGCCGTGGCTGCGCAGGCGGCGGCGCGGGGGCTCGTTTCGCTCTTATGTGGTCGTCCGGGGGCGCTTGTGGCCGCGGGTGAGGCCCATGACGACACGCTGTGTAAAAGCCTTCCAGGCTTTGCCATCGGCGGCAGAGCTACGCAGTTTGTTGAGGTCCTCGAGAGACGCCAGCGACTGAGGCGGCGTCAACGACTGGAGGTCGCGGACCGAAGGAGGTTAGGAGGTGTAAGGGTACCGAAGCGCCAATTTGCGATGGCACCCCTCATCGCACGAGGTCTCACCGTTCTCAAGAGCTGCCTTGAGGCACTTGTTGGCTGCCTCTGTGTTTTCGACTTGCCGTTGCTCGATGTATGTTGAGAGCAAGGGCATGGCACGGTGGCACCAGGTGGCGACGGCCATTGTCGCGTGCGCGTTCACGGCTATTTCTGTGAGCTCGATCATCTCGTGGAGAAGCACTGCAGCGGGCGCTGTAGAGTCCTTGTCCATGGATTCCAACTACTGTTGGGAGTCATTAAAGTCGACGCCGAGGACCGTGATCCAAAAACTCATCGAGGTCGAGCACTTGATCGGCGACGTTGCCATGGTACGTCGTGTGCAGTGGCCAAAGAAATGGCATATGCGAGGTGGTGTGGATGGCGCGTGTCGATCAATAAATGTTTGGACATGTGTACTTGATTTTTTGTATATAAGCTAATTTTGTTGCCATCGATGGACGAGAAGACGATGGCTGTCGATCGTCATGTCGAAGGGATGTTCTGGCATGGAGCCGTTTGGTTCGTCACGAGAAAATGCAAATGCGAACAAGTACTAGGAAGAGGATGTAGAGAGGATAGAAGGGATGGAGCGCTACTAGTAGGCACCAGCGGTTGCGATGGGGTGTCTTGCTTGGAACTCAAGGCAATGCGCAACGAGTTCTTTGCTCTTTTTCTGTGCGCGCATAAGGTTGCTCTCTTGGATCTGGACAAAGAGGGCTGACGCGCGGCGCGTCGCTTCGATGCGGCTGACTCGAATCTTGTCGTCTTTGATCACCTCGGTTGCCGCGTTCAGAACCGTTTGTGTCGTTTGGACCTTGCTTTCGACGTCGACCAGTTTGTTGGAAATGATGTCGAGGTGCTTTTTATTAATAATCGCGGGGCCGAAGTCCGCGTCGAGTGTTTTGGCGGCCTTGTTGGATGATGAGGTCGCACCAGTAGTAGACGGAGCGCACTGCCGCGGCGTGCGCATCGGCAGCGTTGTGCTTGTTTGTAGTGGCCGTGCTGGGAACTCCAGCGGCTTGGATGGAAAAGTCGCCTTGGAAGTCGTCGAGCATCATGAGGATATCGGTGGCGTCGAACGTGGTGTCGATGCTCTGCATCCACGAGTGCACTGCGAAGAGCTCGGGTACGGTGACGCGAACCATCGAGCTAAGGAATAGCGGTGTGCGTAGCTCGGTCGACGAAAAATGAAAAGTGATTCGATTTATGAAAGCGCATTGACACCTGGCACATGGATTCGAAATGATCAAGTAGCAGGCAACATACGGAGATGACATGCTGGATCGAGGCAGGACACGAATACGACGTTAATCAATCGGTGCACTCAATCCAAAGCTAAACTATCAAGTTGGATGCCTCCCAGCGTGCCGATTTTGCGGATGTACAGTGTAGCACGAATCGTCATTTTTCAATTTCCTTTGTAGACCTCCAATGGAACTCACTGCCCCGACGACCACAGCCTCACGGACACTTAGGCTTCAAATCCTCACCGACGCCATCGCCCCGGGGTACCAAGGCAGTCCCACCGTCGAGTGGCTCCAAAGCTGCGACACCGACTTCTCTCCTGCGGCCATGCCATTCGTCACTGAAATCCTCACACAACTGCTCAACGGCCACGACTGCTACACCGACGCGACGCAGACCGTCCTCGCCTGGTGCATGCTCGTCACAGACGCGCTCCCGCTCTTCCTCGCGTCCACGTCGGACCAAACCCAAGCCATCTGCCTCCAGCATCTCAACGAAGGCGACGACCTATTCTACAACGCGCTCAAAGCACTTCAGCAGTGCGCGCTCCACTTCAACGCCGCCATCGGCAAGCTCAAAACGCTCCAGAGGCAGCTCGACGCCGACTTTGACCGCGACAGCGCGTACCACGAAAAGCTCGTTGACCAGGCCGTCGACAAATGGAAGACCTGCAGCCACACCGGGGGTGCCGCCATCGGTGCTTTGGCTTGCATTCCGCTCGGTTTACTCGGTCTTGTGCTGGTGGCCCCCGCTGCTCTTCTTGCCGGGGAGGCCTCGGAAGCCGTCATTCGCGCAGCGTGGCGCGACGAGCTCAGCAACCAATTGACGATGGTCAGCACCAAGCTCAAGACGTTGACTGCGCATGTGACCTCCACGAAAAAAGCCATCGACTACGCGCTGAGCGTCCAGAGACACGAGGCCGAGGCGATCACATCGCTCAACGCCAACCGGTCAGTGAATGCAACCTTCCTCAGCTTGGCCAACATGCCGCTTCGGTCGATTCGTCCCGAGGCTGAGACCCTCGTGAGCATGTGCAACGCGTACATCGAAGCACATCAAGGGTCGACCACAACGTCCGACGATCCGTGAGCGACCAGGGTTTTCTCCACGATGCATACAAGAACGTACTATGTTGTTACGATGCATGGAGCCACAACAATAGATGGCTAATGAAATCATTTTTACATGCACCGGATGTACCATACTGGCATGTCCAGATCATGCCTCGCAGCCACTAACATCTTGTCCGCAGCATGCGAGCCGTCCATATTCCGATGGCTAGCGTTGGGCACAAATCGCTTCGGTTGCCACAAGCCCGTGGCCATTTTGTACCAAGGCGATATCTCGTACTAGTACGTACATAATCTGTGGCGGCACGTGTCCGAGAGAGGTGATTCTTGAACCATTCCAGATCCACCTGTTTCAGCCAAGCGTTTTAATGTCCTGTGCCCGCGGGTGTAAAGCCCGAGCGAGCGGGACATCCGAGAGATAAAGCGCCGTGAAATATCGGTGTTATTCCACTTGAAATAGTGCTAGGCTATTATTACTTCGACCATGTGCTCTGGAATGGAGCAAGAATTAACGGACCCCTGGTCCTTGACGTGTCCAGTTGATATCTCGATGCGTCATCGTGTCCGGAAAAAAGGCCACTTGATACTTTGTGTCACGTAAACGGTATCAACTTTAGCGCCAAGAAACGCCTGGCAATTCCATTGTCCATGCGACGCTGGGATTGCACTTCGGACGCCATTGACCAAAAGGCCCCATGGATCTCAAGTAC